ATACAATAGTCAATTTGAAATTATTTTAATCAATATATTTTATTTTTTTATTTTTTATACCATCTTGTTTGCATTGGTTGATGTATTGTATTATTAAAGATTTGTTTCAATTATATTTTAAAATATTATAATTGATTAATTTTTTCAAGACATCTTTTTAGTCATTTTTATTTCATTTTTATCTGCTAGTTTTAAACATGATTTGTTCATCAGCTAGTTTGTCAAACATAACTTTCGTCTTATAAATTAAGTCTTATAAATTAGTGTATTAGGACACTTATTTAGTGTGGCGTCCCCAATTTTGTTGTAGAGAATAAACAATTATGGTCAATAAAAATGTTTTATGTGTTAGTTTATTGGTTCGTCGATTTCTCCTACTGATTTTTTATACATGGAAATAAAAATGTAACCTAAAGAGCATTTGGCCTATTGGTATCGTAGTCGTTGGCCTCCTAAGAAGTCAAGGGTTCAAACCTCACTCAAGGTGAGGTGGGTGTGTGAGTTTATTTGTTGCATTTGCCGTATATAAATATTATATACTTAAAAAAAATTGTATATTTCTTTCGTTTTATAAATGTAAGGGTTTATTTGCTTAAATAATCGTTGAAGAACTTAATCGTTCAAAATATGAAAAATTCGGTGAGTTTGCTTTCTATTTTAATAAATATAAGGATTTATTTGTTCGATTTCAAAAAATTTAAAATTTTATTTATTAAAAAATCAAAAACTTAATCGTATAAAATATGAGTTTATTTTGAAGTTTTTTAAACTTTTCTCAGTTGTTTCGTAAATAATTCGCAGAAGGTATCAATAATATTAATATTGGTTCATAATTACTTAACGTCGACTTATTCTAAAATGATATTAAATATTTAATAAACATTTAAATATCAAATTAATAAATATTGTAATTGTTTTGAAGCGGCGGAGAGTTAAGGAAAAAAACACCAACTTGACTATTATTATTTTAACTTCTAATCAATTATTTATAGTTTAATAAAATTCTCACCTCTTTTGGATTTTTTTAATTACATATACAAATAATTTTACTTTTTAAATACTTTCATGATTTATAATTCCACATATAATTTTTATTCTCATTTTTCATTTTAAAAATTATTGCATTCAATACGTATTGATGTACTAAAATCTTACTTATCAAAATAAATTATAGTATTGACTCTTGTAGGTAAGCACTTACCGGGTAAACATTTGGATAAACAGCCCCTTAGTGTTTGTTATCATATATGTTGCTCAACGGAAAAATAGGGCAGAAGAAACCGAAACCAAGTAGTTTGATTTCTCAATCATATTCAAATCGAAAACAAGTACTGACAATAACAAGCAATCAAAGTAATTAATAAAGAGTAAAGACAATGTAACAAAGATTTATGTGGTTTAGCAACATTGCTTACATCCACACTAGAGAGAGACCTTTTGTATTAGGTTAATAATCGACCTATTTTTTTCCCTACAAAATATCAGCGTTCTTTCTATATTTTCACTTTTCTCTCGTCTTACTGCTTTCTCTTCTGAACGAGCTTACATATACAAGACAATGTGCATATTTGACCACAGGCCAAGTCTTTGTCTTTTCAACTGAACAGAAAGTTAAAATTGCATAAGTTATGACAAAACGTCCTATATCCAACTCTTCAATATATATATATATATATATATATATATGTATGTATGTATGTATGTATATATATATAAAGTGTACTCTTCAATAAGGCATGTCCACACCTTATTACAGACAACTTTTGTCCAACATACTTACAATATATTGTTTCGTTTAATATGTACCCTTATTTGAAACTATAATATTGATTCAAATTTCCCTTAATTTGCACAGTGATGTGACCTTGAGGGGAAAGACCAACAATAATTTTGTAAAAAATGTCTGTAATTTTGTTTTTTATAGTCAAATTATGTTATTGCTAAAAAAATTTAGGTAAACCTGATTATGTTAATTGATTAAATAAAACGAAATATTATACTGTTAATTTTTTTTAATCAAAAAGAATAGAAAATTATTATATATAAACTCATTTGAAGGTAAATTGTATTTTTCGTTAACAGACAGGCGGAGTGATTGAATTTCATTCTTTCTAGTTTTAAACAAGTTATTTTTGTATTTTTAGGTTTTAGTCATTTATGGTGTGTTTGGTGTATTGGACAAAACAGAAGATGGATTCTTGTTTAATAGGATTTTTATATGGAACAAGTCTGTTCCATCCTTACCTCCAGGAACAGGGTGAAACAGATTTATATTTTACCAATACAACCCTAAAATAAAACTTTTTTCTGAAACATCAAATAGGTCTTCTATATACATTTTATTCATTTTTTAAATTTTATTTATTGTATTTTATGTGGAAAATAATATTTTTGATTATTTACTCAGTCAAATTTTTCGCCTTGTTAAACTTTAATTTTATTGTTTTCAAAATATTACTTTTTATATGGTTTTTATATTTTTATTAATTTATGTAATTTACTATATATTGATGATAAGAAATAATGTAGAATAAGGATAAAATAAAGATTGGAAACCATATAAAGTTTTTATTTTGATGTCATTTTAATTGTTCTAATGAAAACTTTCTAATAATATAGTTTGTTATAAAAAAATATTTTATTATAATTTAATAACTTACATAAATTAATCAAAACATATAAACAACCAATAGAGATAAATTAGTCATTTTAGTTGTTCTGTTATATTCTGTCCAGTTCTATCTTATCAGACATTGAACAACTGTTTTGTCCTATCGTATGCTGTCATATCATATATGTTCACCAAACACACCCTCAAAATATTAATTGCATGAAACAAAACATAATAAAAAGGGAATGATTACGTGAATGAACAATGGATTTTTATACGCCTGATTTACATAAATGATCGTTTTACATAAATCACGTGGATTATGAAAAAAAAAAACCCCAGGGTTAAAAAAAATAACCAAATAAAAATCCCATGGAAAAAAACTTAAATTAATTTTAAAAAAAAAATTAACCAACAAAAGGGTCTCTACTAATTTTATTGATGGGCCAAATTCTGGGCGATTTGCTTAAGTGAAAGTAGGTTACATCGTACGATTGTGTCGACAAACACACACGTTTCTTCCCTCGTGTTCTCCGGAGGTACATCGACGACGTACGACTCCACGACGACGGTGGTGCCGCCGTTCGTCGGGGAGGAGTGAAGGGTGGTGACAGACCGGTAGTTGTTCAGACGGTGGTCTCCACCAACGACACTGAAGCTCATGACGTGCTGTTCGTCGTCTAGGATCTCAAGCCTCTCCATGCTGGACGCCGCCGGCAACCCCGACACAACTTGGACCTCCCTCAGTGAACCCACGTCGAGGCCGTCGCCGAGGATGAGTTGACAGCTCTTGAGAAAGTGCTTGTACGCTTGTGGGTTGTCAAAGCGACGGACGAGAGACCAGACTGCCTCGACGGGGGCGGAGATCGACTGGATTACGGCGGAAGAGCACTGGTTGTAACCCACCACGTGGGTGTGGTGGTGGTGGAGATCTTCTGGGAGGTAAACAGACGAGGGAAGTCTCCATATGGTAGTGGTTGTAAAGGGATGATTGTGGTGGTTCACGGTGGTTGTGGGGTGGTTGTCTTGAATTCTTTGGATTTGAATGGAGGAACTCATTGCTAATTAATTTTCTTTCGATTTTTGAATCAGCAAGGTCGTACCATATATAGATATAGATACAGATATAGATACAGATATTGATATAGATATATACACATACAATGTAGAGAGAGAGAGAGAGAGAGAGAGAGAGTCATGAAATGTGTGTGAAGATTAAGAATGGGGGGGGTTGCAAGTTGCATGTAATTAGTTTGAATTTGGTTGGAGGGAGCATGCAAGTTGGAGCAGCAAGTTGCAAGATCCCTTTGTCCTTTATTATTTATTACTTTATTATATATATATATATATATATATATATATATATATTTTTTTTTTCATATTCTAGAAAATGTAAACCTTATTTTATTTAAAATTATATATCATTTACAAGTGGATTAAAAAAGATTTTGGTGATTCCAAACTATATGTAAAATAATTGGTTATTTTGGGATTAGTCGGTTCGCATAGCGGGTTGGATATTCAGGTTAATAAAAAAAAATTGATGGTGTTGAGGTTTAATTATTCGTTTTAATTAAAACATGTTAAGACCTGTAATTAATGAATACAAATTAGTTATGTTATGTAAAAACAAATTTACATTTAATAAAAATAAACGACAACCTGTCTTCAAATTTACTATTACGGATTATATATTCTTTTATGTGTATTAAACTCTTCCCTTAATTAATTAAATACACCTAAACATTAATTAATCATTCCCAATATTAATTAATTGATACTTTCTTTAGAAGGTAACATAAAAAAAAAAAAAATAGGTTCAAGGCCTCAAATTCACTTATATCTATTTCAAATTAACTGATAACTTAGTTGATATATTAGTCATGTTTGATATAAAAAAACATATAAAATATGTTAAAAAGAAGGTAGGTTGATAATTTTAGATGTCAGTTAAGTTGAAAAGCAAGCCATATAATGCCATGCAGAAAAAGAGTAGAATAAAATAGAAAGAGGAAGAAGTAGCTGGTGAAGGACCAGTTAGAAGCTACAATCCTAACCAGACCTAATTAACACCAAAACTGAAAAAGGTTGAGATTACTTACAACCAATAAGTCTTAAAAGTCTCCTTATATTCCTCTTCTTTTACCTACTATTACATACATTCATACATATTTATGGAAGATAAATACAGTTATATAAATTATGATCAATACTTTATATTAAAAAATAATCAAAACTTCTATAAAATTACATATTCATCAAATTAAATGAATGGTTAAAATTATGTTGTATTGATTGTACAAATATAAAGGGTTATATAATAACTAACCTCCTTTTCTCTCTCTCTCTATATATATATATGTATATATAAAAAGAGAGAAAGAGAGAGAGAATATCAATCAAAACAATGACGAAAATAATAGAAGACCATAACCAAATAAAATAACATGGTATTTGAGATTTTTGGAAACATCATCTCATAATTGATTCATTTCTGAAAAATAAAAATAAAAAATCATAAAACAAATAAACATAAAACAATTCAATATTTGGTTCACAATTATATTTTTCATTTTGCTACATCATGAGGTACTCTTCTAATCTTATAAAAGAGTACAACATTAAACCATTAAATATAAATAACTGATATGTTAAAAATTAAGGTTTTTGAAGACTTATGATTCAACTAAAACGAAATACATGAAAAAGTATCTAATGCAGAGCAACTAAATATAGTGTGAACTTTTATGTGGAAAAAATGAGTTCAAGACTTTAATCAAACACATTTTTAAGTATCTGGTTTTTTTTTTCTTTTAGTTTGCTATAGAGTGTAGAAATACGAGTTAAATTTTCGAAGAGTATGACTATAAGTATATATGGTTGAAAGACTAGTCTATATGATTGTAATCATTTTTCATCTTTTCCCATCACATTGCATTGCAATATATATATATATATATATATATATATATATATATATATATATATATATATATATATATATATATA